TAGTAGTAATACTGTCTAATATCGTATATATTGTAGTAATACTGTCTAATATCGTACCTATTGTAGTAATACTGTCTAATATCGTATATATAGTAGTAATACTGTCTAATATCGTATATATATTAGTAATACTGTCTAATATCGTATATATTAGTAACACTGTCTAATATCGTATCTATTGTAGTAATACTGTCTAATATCGTACCTATTGTAGTAATACTGTATAATATCGTATCTATTGTAGTAATACTGTCTAATATCGTATCTATTGTAGTAATACTGTCTAATATCGTATATATAGTAGTAATACTGTCGAATATCGTATATATAGTAGTAATACTGTCTAATATCGTATATATAGTAGTAATACTGTCTAATATCGTATCTATTGTAGTAATACTGTCTAATATCGTATCTATTGTAGTAATATTGTCTAATATCGTATATATAGTAGTCATATTGTCTAATGTCGTATATATAGTAGTAATATTATCAAATATCGTATATATAGTAGTAATACTGTCTGATATCGTATCTATTGTAGTAATACTGTCTAATATCGTATCTATAGTGGTAATACTGTCTAATATCGTATCTATTGTAGTAATACTGTCTAATATCGTATATATAGAAGTAATACTGTCTAATATCGGATATATATTAGTAATACTGTCTAATATCGTATATATAGTAGTAATACTGTCTAATATCGTATATATTGTAGTAATACTGTCTAATATCGTATATATATTAGTAATACTGTCTAATATCGTATATATAATAGTAATACTGTCTAATATCGTATATAAATTAGTAATACTGTCTAATATCGTATATATAGTAGTAATACTGTCTAATATCGTATCTATTGTAGTAATACTGTCTAATATCGTATATATATTAGTAATACTGTCTAATATCGTATATATATATATATATATTAGTAATACTGTCTAATATCGTATATATAGTAGTAATACTGTCTAATATCGTATCTATTGTAGTAATACTGTCTAATATAGTATCTACTGTAGTAGTATTGTCTAATATCGTATATATAGTAGTAATACTGTCTAATATCGTATATATAGCAGTAATACTCTCTAATATCGTATATATGGTAGTAATACTGTCTAATATCGTATATATAGTAGTAATACTGTCTAATATCGTATATATAGTAGTAATACTGTCTAATATCGTATCTATTGTAGTAATACTGTCTAATATCGTATATATACTGGTAATACTGTCTAATATCGTATATATAGTAGTAATACTGTCTAATATAGTATCTATTGTAGTAATACTGTCTAATATCGTATATATATTAGTAATACTGTCTAATATCGTATCTATTGTAGTAATACTGTCTAATATCGTATATATAGTATTAATACTGTCTAATATAGTATCTATTGTAGTAATACTGTCTAATATCGTATATATAGTAGTAATACTGTCTAATATCGTATATATAGTAGTAATACTGTCTAATATCGTGTATATATTAGTAATGCTGTCTAATATCGTATATATATTACTAATACTGTCTAATATAGTATCTATTGTAGTAATACTGTCTAATATCGTATATATAGTAGTAATACTGTCTAATATCGTATATATAGTAGTAATACTGTCTAATATCGTATATATAGTAGTAATACTGTCTAATATCGTATCTATTGTAGTAATACTGTCTAATATCGTATCTATTGTAGTAATACAGTCTGATATCGTATATATAGTAGTAATACTGCCTGATATCGTATATATAGTAGTAATACAGTCTAAAAACATTCTAAAATTACTATTATAATATTTGGTATCAGTCTATTACAAGTGAATCATATATATAGTATCTCATATAATGTATTTGATGGAGGTCACTAAATTAATTTCATCTTACTTCACATTTGAGTAATTGAAAACTAAATCATGAGATAGTAAACGGAAATGCACACTAGACGAAGGTAATTACGACAATACAATTTTTATTATCCAGTACTACCAGCCATTATCAAATTAACGTTGGATCAACTTCTGACCTTTACATCCAGTAACGTTATCAGTATTGCTATATTAGGTAATGCTCTGAAACGAAACTCTTCGAGTACCTTATCTATTTCATAGTTAATTGGTATGTAATTGCATAAGAACGTTATCTAGGACATATCTGATGTGAGCGCTTATCTTTTTAATCGATTTGATCCTTTTATACAGCGTATTTGATGAAATAGCATGCCGATAAAAACGTCATCGGTGTACATTCGTGGAGATCCAGAGACATCCCCGTCGCTGTAATTACGAAGGGATGTCGATGTATGATTGAAAATTCTAATATCTCAATACAGTAGAATAATTCTCGTGGGATTTATCTATTAAATTACAGGATGATTGACAAACAGATCCAAGAGAATCACTATCTTTTAAATTACCAAGCTCGTATGTCTGCTTGACAGCTCATTTGCATTTAGGAAGCTTGTTAAGCTACTAATCATTATTCAAATCGTCAGGTGAGTTTAAACATTTCACTCTGTTGGGGATAGAACTAATGGGTCACTTGAAGGTGCACGGATTTATTTTCTCCGAGTGGCTCTTAACTCAAGCATTAAAACTTGTTTCGTGTACACACATCGACTTGTCGAATTCACAATTCTATCACTATAATTTTCATGTTTTTTTTTTTTTTGGTATGATTATGACACGTTCACAGCAATCAGGTGGATTACATTACAAAAACCGTGAACAAACGTGTTTACGATAATTCCAACATTTGTGTACATAGCGCCACCAACGGTGTATTCAGATATCATAAGTCGACCTATGTTTTCACGAAGAAACCGCGTGATATTTTGATACTCGCATGTTCCATGGTTAGATAGATCAGTGAGAAAGTAGACGTGGTGACGCGAGAGAATGGCGCACTATCTTTGGGCCAAAAACAAGTCTCGGGGTGGCTCTCTCGCCCACAACGAGATTTCGTCGGTCATTTGTAAACCAATATAAACAAACAAATCACATGACAGTTTGTGGGCGTAGAACACGGACCAGAGCAGTTAAAACTACAGCAGTTATTTTTTATAAAATGGCGTGAGGGCAGCATGAACTGTCACAGTTTAATGGCTACAACTGAAAGTTATTAGGAATGTTGAAGTCGGTCTTTTCTAAATCAGAAATTGCACGGCTAGCGGTGTGACTTTGGCCATCTTCACTGAGAAGTTTCATTACGGTAACTATTTCTCGTTTAATTCAGTAAGGTGTAAAACACGAACACGTCGTTGTTCATACTTTGTTATAAAGGAATAAAAGGCCATCACCTGATTACGGATTATGTTCATTTAGTGTGGAAGGATACATTGATTACTTCCTGTGTGTGGTTTAGTCAAAATCATTGCGGTGGCATATTCGTGGTGTCAGTCAGTAAACAGGCGGATTCTGAGGCCTATCATTCATGAATCAGATTATGCAACGCTACGGCTCGTTTATTTACTTTATACACCGTCTATAATAACAACTGTACAAGGATGAAACACGATAGTATAAATGCGGGAGTACATATATTTGTAACAACTATACAGTTAACTTCATACATATTACAACTTGAAATAAACATGGTTAGAGACGTGTATGTTACTTATTTACATCATGAATTTTACTTAATATAAAACAAAACATGCATCACCCACAAACCAGATGCAATTTGGCAAAAGTATGTAAATAAATAAAAACAGAAGCATCGGATATATGTCATGATTTGAAGCAGGGGAGTCGTCACAGCGCATGCGTCAGATGGGCATAGCGTGTCATAGTTTACAAACGAGCGTCTACCCATGAGCTTTTGCGTTTTTAGCGTTTGTTGTTATCATCGCTTGGACTGGGACTCAATTCCCGCGCGTGCGCAGGTGACGACCCTCTCGCTTTAATATATCTGGCACATCCGGTCTGGATTCGAATTTGTACCTGCGCGTGATCGGATTTTTTATTTCAAATGAATTATCCCCCAACGACAGATTTTCAATTCACGTTTCTTGAGGGCGCAATTCAAACACCCAATACAGGCTCAAGCTTTCAACAATGTGAAATCCTGCTTGGAGACTATCCATTTGCTTTTACATGTTTGGAAATACATTGAAAATGTAACAGTTCGCTCGAGCACCGCTGGAAACCGTCAGAATATATAATGATTGTATTCAGTCACGATACAAGAAATGTAAGCTATCAAATGCGATATAATTATATAATATTTAAACTGGGTCATTATCTTGACTTTAAAAATAACTAAAAATAAATACTTTTTATAGTATTTTATACTATACATGGTAGAATATTATTTTTTGTTGAACATAATATGAATAACACTACACCTAAATAACACAAATAAGCACCATTGAAACAACATTCCGCGCAGTGTGATTTATATCAAAAGATTAAGCCCATCAGCACCTGGGGGCGCTACAACTAACGTCGACACAAGGAGGGTTTGGTGAAACAAAGAAGGTCAACCTTAATTTAAGGAAGAAGTATAAAATAGACTACTTAGAAAAATATCTGTAACCCTCTGTCTATGAAAGCGTAAATACATGTAGAAACGCATTATGCAGAACCCATGCGAGGTGAACTCCTTAAATAAAAGTACATTCTGTATCGACGTCTGGCTTAGGAGACGAAGTTACAGAATGTGTACAATATCCAAATATTCTCAAAATACTGATATCAAATAACGACTTATACTAATTAGAACAGGATGGTTTATGGAATAGCATAGCATTCCATAGTTTACAACAAATTAGACAAAAATAACTAAAATATGTTGCATATATATATGAAACATATTTTAGTATTATATAATATAATATATATATATATATATATTGGAATAATATTTCACATTTAGATTAGCCTATTTTATTCGGTAAATCGAAATACAATATATGTATATAATACGGTATTTCGTATAATTAACTTGTTTGAAAAAAAATTTAAATTCATGATATTTATTCAGTTTTTGTTACATCCGTGGTTGTTGCTGTGCTCTCGTCAGGTTTAGGTTCTTCTGTGTTTTCGGTTGGCCTCGGTTCATCACTGGTATCTGTTGATACTGCCTCTTCAACCTTTACTTTGATTTCTTCGGTTTTTTCCTCGACAGCTACGGCAATTTTTTCCTGCATGTTTTCTAGCTTCTTCTCGAGTACCTCAGCGGAAGCCACTTCTCCCACAACATTTTCCGCCGACTGTGCTGGTTCTTGCGTTGGTTCCTGCGCTGCCTCCTGTGTTGGTTCCTGCGTTGGTTTCTGCGCTGGTTTCTGCGTTGGTTGTTGCGCTGGTTCCTGCGTTGGTTCCTGTGTTGTTTCCGTAGCGTCCAACTGAGTTCCGGTAGCATTGGTAGTTGGTGCGGCTACCACGGCGTCAGCGTCATTTTGATCTTTCGCATTGGCGTCTTCGTTTGAGCTCTTGCTACTACGACCACTGCTACTCTTACTATTACTAGTGCTAGTGCTTGTTGATTCATCATCTGTTGGATTGAAAACTGTTGGATCTGTTTTTGGTATTGCTGGGTAATCATCGATTGTTTTATTGCCCATGATGCATTTCTTCCAATCAGGCCAATATCTTTCCTTTATACGTTCACAGAAGGCCAACAGATTTTTGCACTCACCTATGTGTGAAGATATAAATGTTTTATTGTAATCAGTGATAAATACCCGGGACTTGTAGATAAGAGGACACGAACAATGGTTGGAAATGTTACTTCTACTTCTAACCAAGAACTCGTTTTTGTACAACGCAAGCAGTTTGGGTATTCGAGCACACGTAAAATCACAGATGCGTTTGCACAGTGGAAAGGAAAAGGAGCTGGCCTCGATGACATTTTATGCTAGTAAACGAAACCAACGTTTAACTAAATATATTACTCTAAGCTGGTTTAACCTAAACCAAACCCAAATTCTCAACTGCTTAAATGAAATTATTGTTCCAATGTCTTCTTTATTTGTCAGTGAATTCTCTGTTTTCTGTTTCAAATAGTTACCGCTTTTATAATAACTTACTACATTAGGGGACATTTTTGTACGGCAATATATATAGTATTGTCTGTCCTGGTTAAGGAGGGCGTATACTTCTTAATATTGTTTGCTCCACGTTAGTGTCATATTTATGCCTCAGTCTATATCGCTAACAGGAACTATGCATCAGTCTAGATCGTTTACAGGGACTATGCCTCAATCTAGATCGCTAACAGGGACTACTAGTATGCCTCAGTCTACATCACTAACAGGGACTATGCCTCAGTCTACATCGCTAACAGGGACTATGCCTCAATCTAGATCGCTAACAGGGACTATGCCTCAGTCTAGATCGCTAACAGGAACTACTAGTATGCCTCAGTCTACATCACTAACAGGAACTATGCATCAGTCTAGATCGCTAACAGGAACTATGCATCAGTCTAGATCGCTAACATGAACTATGCCTCAGTCTAGATCGCTAACAAGGACTATGCCTCAGTCTAGATCGCTAACAGAGACTATGCCTCAGTCTAGATCGCTAACAGGGACTATGCATCAGTCTACATCGCTAACAGAGACTATGCCTCAGTCTAGATCGCTAACAGGGAC